GGGTAGGAGCTCCTTCTTTCTTTCTGCTGCATAGAATTCCATTGTGTAAATGTACCATAGTTTTCTGATCCATTCATTTACTGATGGGCATCTAGGTTGCTTCCAGCACCTAGCTATTGTAAATAGTGCTGCTATGCACAGCAGGGTGCAAAGGTTCTTTTGTATTGGTGTTTTAGTGTTCTTAGGATATATAGTCCCAGCAGTGGAATTGCAGGGTCAAAAGGCAGATCCATTTTTAGTTTTCTGAGGAAGTTCCATATTGCTTTCCACAGTGGTTGTGCCAGTCTGCTGTCCCACCAACAGTGCACTAGGGACCCCTTTTCTCCACAACCTCTCCAACACGTGTTGTTTGTTGCTTTATTTATGATGGCCATTCTGACTGGTGTGAAGTGGTATCTCATTGTGGTTTTAATTTGCATCTCTCTGATAGCTAATGATATTGAACATCGTTTCATGTGTCTTTGGATCTTCTGTATGTCCTCCTTGGAGAAGTGTCTGTTCAAGTCCTTTGCCCATTTTTTAATTGGGTTGCTTGTCTTCTTAGAGTGGAGTCGTGTAAGTTCTTTATATATTTTGGAGATTAAACCCTTGTCTGAGGTATCATTGGCAAATATGTTTTCCCATACAGTTGGTTCTCTTTTTTATTTTGATACTGTTTTCTTTAGCTGTGCAAAAGCTTTTTATTTTGATGAGGTCCCATCTGTTTATTCTTTCCTTTATGTCCCTTGCTCTAGGAGACATGTCAGTAAAAAAGTTTCTTCGTGAAATATCTGAGATTTTCCTACCTACATTCTCCTCTAGGACTTTAATGGTGTCACGATTTATATTTAAGTCCTTTATCCACCTTGAACTTATTTTTGTATAAAGTGTAAGTTGGTGCTCGAGTTTCATTTTTTTGCACGTGGCTGTCCAGTTCTCCCAACAGCATTTGTTGAAGAGGCTATTTTTATTCCATTTTATGTTGCTGCTTCCTTTGTCAAATATTAATTGACCATAGAGACTTGGGTTTATTTCTGGGCTCTCTGTTCTGTTCCATTGGTCCATGTGCCTGTTTTTATGCCAGTACCAGGCTGTTTTGATTACAGTGGACTTGTAGTATAGTATAGTTGTCAGGTATTGTGATCCCTCCTACTTTACTCTTCTTTCTCAAAATTGTGCTTAACTATTTCCTTATTGTTGAATATTTGAGCAGCTTGAGTTTTCATTCATTCATTCATTCATTCATTCAGTAGCTATTGCATGCCTACTCTCTGCCAGGCACTGAACCAGGCATTGGGATATGGGGTTGCTGAGAAGAGTACACTCCTTACTCCCGGCACTTGGACTCTGGCCAGCGAGACAGACCGTTCTAAGTGAACAAACACAGAAAACCCTAACTCTCAGCAGTGGTGAGGGCTGTGAAGGAAAAGGGGAGACCTCCTGGTGAGACCTACTTTTGAAACATTTGTATATTTTTTGGAAGTAGTCCTAGCCCCTGACTCTGACCCGCTCTTGTTCCTCAGTAGTCATCACGGAAGCTTCTCCTTGGGGAATCCCACATGGGGCTGAATTTTCCACTAACACATTTCAGAGCTTCCCAAGAAGTCGGAGCTCACCGTGGCACTCAAACGGGCCTTGTTTCTTGTTCGTTCTTCCTCTGTGTGACTTGTGTCTCAACCAGTCCTGTCTGCTCCCTGCCTCCCTGGAGAGGCTTACAATTACTTCCCTAGATCTACCTGCACTGAGCCTCCCCACCATCCGTCTCCATACAGAAGCCCCACCTGTGCTGGGAGCCTTTGAGCCAATCAGCAGAGGTGCCGGCTTCTGGCGGACCAAACCTAGATGGGCAAGGCTTGGTGGGCAGACTGCAAGTTGGATGTTCGCCCCATGAGGCCCTGTGGTTCACCTGCTTGACTATCTATGGCAGCCCTGCCAGCAGCCCTTGGAATGACCACCTCACCTACCTTCTGGCTACCTGATTCTCACTCCATCTTGAAGGGTCAGTTTACATGGTATCTCTTATGGGAAGTTTTATCTAGCTTTCTGGTTCACAGTGAATCTTTATTATCCCTTGAACTCCTAGATAATTTTTAACTCTCTGCTCTCTTTGGCACTTAATTGTATACTGCCTTATGATTCCTCCTGTCTTGCTCTCTTGTATCATTATTTCACCAGACAAAGTCTCATTTCAATTGAGAGACCAGAGGTATCTCTATAGATGTGTTATGTATCAGGCAGGGGAAAGGACACATGCAAAGGCCCTGAGGCAGAACTGTTTTAGACGTGAGGCTGAAATGAAGTGGAGGATTCGACAAATGCAGTGGAAAACAACCTACTAAGTTTTGCATTCACACTACTTTGTGAGGGCATCTTTGTCCTAAGCCCTGGAAGTGAGGATATGGAGATTAGTCAAACCAGACATACTCGTTTCCGGAAAAATGGAGGAGGCCATGAGGATTCTGCAGAGACAGACCATGTGGGGGGTTATGATGCATGTCAGTCGAAGGGTAGAGGGAGTAGTTATTTCAGCCGGTGAGCACTGAAGGAAGCTCATCCAAGAAGGAGACATCCAGTGGGGTCCGACACAGGAGGTTCCTAGGCAGAGACACGAAGGAAGAGGAAGTCCAGACCTAGTGTCAAAAGGAAGGGGATGGGGAGAGAAAAGTGACTTCAGAGAAAAGCAATCAGGAAGCATCTCTCAGGAAAATTAACGTGCTTGGACTTTATCTGTAGATGGTGGGAAACTGGGGAGGCTTCTAAGCTGGAGAGTGGCAGGTCTGGCTACAGTGTGGAGAATGAACAGGGCGGTCGTCAAGACTGGGGTCAGGGAGACCCATGAGGGGTTGGGACAATTGCTCAGGATAAAAGGTCTCGATTGGGACCATGATTATAAGAATGGATAAGAGAGGAAAGATAGACTTTTCTGTGTAAAACCTGTAAGACTTGGGAAAGGACTGGTTTCAGAAGGCGAGGAAGAGGGTGAGGTAGGGCTTTGAGACTTTCAGTCATGGAAGACTGAAAGCAGGTGGCTAAGACCAGAGATGCTTGGAGGAGAAACAGGATTTGGGGAGCAGGCTGTTGCAGAGTGACTGGGGGGCTGAGTGCTTCCCGTTGGTACCATGGACAGCTCCAAGGATCGCCAGAGGCCTTGGAACAGACCATGTAGAGCAATGGTTTTTGACTCTGGCTGCCTTAAAATCAGCAGACGACCTAATTTAACATGCAGACTCCCCCACCCCCATCCAGATGTTCTTCCTTAAAGTCTCCGGAGCTCCTGGGGTTCCGAAGCCTGCATTCTTAATAAGCACCCTAGGTAACCCAGTTGCGGGTGGGTGGTCAGTTGACTAAAACACTGAAATAAAGCCTTGGCTCCAGAGCAAGAGATAAGAGCTCCCTCTGCTGCTAGAAAGGTTTGGACTACTTGAGTTTAGGTTTGGACTACTCAAGTTTAGGACATGTGTATTGAAGGCAGCATATTTACACAGTGAAACCCTGGGCCCAAACAAAGAAATGAACGACCTGGGGAGATGCATGAGGGAGAGGGGCCACCTTACTTGATGCCTTTAGTGTTCCTTTCACCCTGCAGTGCAGAGTGCGGCCCAGCTCACCTGCGGGTAGTTACCGTCACTGTCTTCTGTCTGTAATTCCTCCTGCAGTGCATTCCCTAAAAACCCAAATGTGGTTCCTTCCGGTGCAAGGAAGAGCCCTCCCCTTGGATCAGCTTAAAAACACGTGACAACCCCAAAAATGGAAAGCAGGGACCTGGGAAGGTATTTGTGTGTCTGTATTCACAGACGCTTTCTTCACAATAGTCAGTAGGTGAGAACCACCCAAATGTCCTCCGGCGGATGGGAGGAGACGATGTGGTGGATAGATACAATGGACACTATCGAAACTTAAAAGGGTTAGAGAGGTTCTGAGATATGCTACCGCTCAGGTCAGCTGCACAGGCATTATGCTGGGTGAAATAAGCTAGTCACAGAAGGACAAACACCGTCTGATTCCACTTACTTGAGGTGCTTAGAGGGGTCAAACTCACAGACACAGAAAGCAGAGTGGTGGCTGCCAAGAGCTGGGGGAGGGAGAATGAGGAGGTAGTGTTGAATGGCTGCAGGGGCGTCCGACCCGTGGCCCGTGGGCCGCATGCATCTCAGGAAGGCTGTGAATGCTGCCTGACACAAAATCGTAAATTCACTTAAAACAATATGAGATTTTTTTGATTACATGTTGCAATGTATTTGATGTGTGGCCCAAGACAACTCTTCTTCTTCCAGTGTGGCCCAGTGACACCAAAGGGTTGGCCACCCCTGGAGAGTGTCAACTCGAGAAGATAAGAAGTTCTGGAAAGGGATGCTGGTGATGGCAGTGGTTGCACAGCATCGTGAATGTACTCGATGCCATTGCACTGTACACCTAAAAGTCGTTAAAATGGTAACTTTCATGTTGTTTATTTCATCACCCAAACTGACATCATAAGAAAGGTCGCAGGTCATGACATCAACCTGAAAGGGAACCTGCGGATCCGGGGAAGGTGTCTCCCCTTCAGGAGCAACAGGTGTTCCTGCAAACAGGTAGCTGCTCCCTGAGGGCCTGGACTTGACCCGTCCACCATCAGACGGAGATGCTTCCAGATGGTGGAGTTCCTTAGGATGGGTGAGGTTGTGCTTCCTCCTTCAGACTGGCAGCTATCCCAGCGAGTAGGTATGCTGGTGGGGAAGGGGACCTCTTGTCGAGTTTGTCTCTGCTCCCCAGTCCCCAGGCTCAGGAGCCCCACCAGTGCCCAACACTTTTCCTTTTCTATGCCCCACTTCACCTCCAACCTCTGCAAGTTCTGCACCCCCCGGTGGGCAGGCTCGCTGGCCAAGGGGGCATTTTGCCCTCTTCCAAGATGGCCACCGCCACCTCTGTGACAGGCTTGGTCACGTGGGAACCGCCGCCTATGAGGTCGCTGGGGATTGGACGTTGATTGTCCCTACCCGGGCCCCGTCCTAAGGCGACGACGGCCCTTGTCAACCCGAGCCTGAGCGATCATGGCAACGGGCTCCGGCAGGGAGCGCGTGGCAGCGGTGGCAGCGGTGGCAGTTTGGTCGCGGACTGGGACGGAGGGCCGGCGGCGGCGGCGGTGGCAGTGGCCCTGGCACCGGTCCTGAGCGCCATGCAGCCGGGCGGCTCCGAGAGGGAGTTGGCGGTAGGGTGGGAGGCGGAGGCGGTGGCCGCGGCTGAACCGCAGGCAGCGGCGGCGGAGCAGGTCCGCGTGGACGCGGGGGCGTCCGGGGAGCCGGAGCGCAAGGCGAGGGAGGAGCCGGCCAAGGACCCGGTCCCGGCGCAGCCCCGCGCGACAGAGGAGGGGGACGCCCGCGTCCTCCCGCGGCCGCCGCCCGCGCTGCCCGTGTCCAGGCCGAAGCTGGCGCCCGCACCGGGTCTCTGGCCGCAGGGGAAGCCCAGGAGCAAGGGCCAAAGTTGCAAGCGGAGCCCGAGCCGCCGGTCGGGCGAGTACCACTCTCTGCGGCCCGTCACCGTGGACAGCTCCAAGGCCAGGACTTCCCTGGACGCCCTGAAGATCAGCATTCGTCAGCTCCAGTGGAAGGAGGTGAGGCCCGGCCCCACCGCGTGGGCGCAGGGGGGTGGACAGGACGACTTCGCAGGAGCTGGCCAGCCCTGGCCAGGTGCGAGGGCTGAGCTCCAGCCGCAGTCCGCTCATCCCTCAAGGCCTAGCCCCCAAGTCACTTCCTCCGCAAGGCTTTCAGCCCCTCCAGGCCAAGTAGCCACTCCTTCCTCCTGCAGCCCTACCGCGCTGTGGTCTCCGGCGCTCAGCACCCGCCTCTCCACACTGTCGTACATTTGTTTGTACATCTGCCTGATCCAATAGCTTGTGAGTCCCTGAGGCCTGGGACCCTCTCTCTTCCACTTCCTCATTTCAGTTGTATTTGTTGAGCACTTACTGTGCGACTCTTGGGCAGTGTAACAGTTTGTGGGCTGGAGGCAGACAGACCTCGGGTCTCACCTGCCACTTAGCCATTGTGACCTTGAGCAAGCTGCTTTGCCTCTTAAGCCCGTTTCCTCCTCTGTAAACTGAGGCCAGTGATACCTCTCTCACAGTGTGGAAGTATCGGAAGACTCACTGCTTCCTGTGGCACGGCACAGGTGTGCAATAAATAGTGCACTGTCCTCTCTCTCTCCCTGCAACACCATCACGGTCACCACCACCACCATCACTGACAGCGTAGGCACTGTATTTCTATTCCAGGATTTGGCACGTAGCAGGTGTCAGGAAGTGGTGGATGAAACGGTGAATGAAGGAATGAGTTATTTGTTCCTGAGCCCATCGCAGACCTGGTGGGGACTGGGATGAAGCCCCAGTGACATCCAGGCGTGTCTATTGCAGTTGGCTTAGTGGATTAAGCCTTTTGACTTTATTTGCAGCATCTAAGTCTGTTTAGCTTGGTTTCAGGTGTGTGAGGATTGTGACTCAGGGTAGTCGAGTCTGGAGGCTCAGACCCAGACGGTCTGCTGATGGGTCAGGATGTGCCCCAGGCGACATGAGGACTCAGGTACTTAGGCCCGGGCCTCCATGTGGTAGATGTCCAGGGACAGCTCTGTGAAGTTGGGACTTGCAGAGATGGCCACGGAAAGGATCGATGAGGTCAGAGGGCTGATGACCCAGCAGGAAGGCGAGACTCAGGCAGGGCAGACTTCCACCAGGTGGGTAGGGGTTAGCCACTGGGGAAGTCTGACTCCAGATGTCAGGGTCCTCAGACTTGGGGTTTGGGATTCAGGGCAGGAATTGCAAGCCTAGGACCCCTGGAGAAGGTGAAGGAGGACCCTGGATTCTGGACAGGGTGCCAGGTCCAGGCTACCGATAGGAGAACCAGAACAAGATAAAATCAGAGAACGCCTCAGCGCCGTAGTCCTAATGAAGAGAGACCCAGGGACTGAATCCAAGCCACAGTCAGGCGAGGCTGCTTGGCCCGAGCAGGGCCTGTGCTTAGCTCAGCTCTGTGGGACACAGAGACATGAAGCTGGCTAAGATCTCGAGAGGTGGAGCCAGACGGACCCAGAAATCGGCAGGTGTACGTGCCAGCCCAGGTCCGTCTACTCGCTCTGTTAGGGTTCATGGTGGATGCTGGGCCCCGCAGATAAAAAAGATGATTGAGGTGTAAGGTGCCCTTGCCCCGCAGGACCTTCTAGTTCGGAAGAAGATAAAACACAAGCGAACAAACCACTGTGGTGAGTACAGGCCTCGGCTGCTGCTTCCCGAAATGCCCCTCCCCCAGTGGGTGTGTGTCTGACTCCGGCACTTCAGATCCCTGACCAAGTGCCACTCCCTCAGACAGGCCTCCCTGTCGGTCCCTCTGTTGGCCCGTGCTCTCCTTTATTTTTTCCTATACCATGAAAGTCTGCCCGGGACTGTATTGTGTGCCGTTTGTTCATTGTCTGTTTCCCGCATTAGAATGTAAGCTCCACGAGGGCAGGGGCTTTGTTCTGTTTGCTTCTGTACCTCCGGGTGCTCAGCACATAGAAGGTGCTCAATAAACCGATGTCAAATGAATGAATACGTCACGTGATGAGTGTTTCTCTCTCTTTATGTAGAGCTGTATGTGACGTGGGAGGTGGAGGAGGGCCAGCTCGGGAGGGGTCCCTAGAGGAGAGAGCCCTGAGCCGAGTTCTGAGTGCTGAAGAGCTGTAGGCATTATTTAGGGGCTGTGGACTTAGGGTCCCTGGTAGAGGGAGTAGTTCGGGCAGAGCAGAGGTGCATTCAGGGTTCCCTGTGGCTGGACCATTGAGCAGGTGACTGAGTGATGGGAGATGAGGCTGGAGAAACGGCGGGGACCAGATCGGGTGCCATGCTGTGGGGCTTGCTCTTTTCTGGAAGGCTGTTTGAGCCGCTGCAGAATTTTAAGTTTCTTTCATTTGTTGGCTGTGCTGTCTCAGCAAGTGTGTTAAACTTTGGGGGCCTTGGTTTGCCTCCCAGTGAAATGGGTGTGGGTTGAGCCGTCTCAGTGGCTCCCAGCCTCTCCACTGCTGCAGCCCCATAATGGTGACGTTGTTCTACAGGAGACCCTTGCACTGGTGAGCCCAGGGGGGTGGGCACTTTCCAGGGCACCATCTGTCACCGCCCCCTCCACCCCAGTGCTGCCTTTCTCTCCCACTCAGAAAGCATATTTGTGTAAGTAGAGATGCTCATTCCAGCATATTGTATACCATAACTCACAACAAGAAGGCTTTACTACTAGATGCGTGATTATTTACTTAATGCCGCTCTCTCCTATTGGTCAGTGAGGTCCTGAGAGCGGGGTGGTGTCCACTTGTGTCCCCAGCACACTGGACGTGTTCAGTAAATGCTCACCCAAGGACTGGACAAAATACTTGTAACAGAGCCCACATCTTGTCCCGACACCCTAGAATGTAGTGTTTGAGAAATGCCAAACTAGGCAAATTTTGAAGTTCCCTCCAGTGTTAAACAAAGGTTATGGAATTCTTAGTGCTGCTACAAAGTTCACTTCATGACAAGTAGACTGTAGGTGAACCAGCTCCCAGCACAGCACAAACCCACGGCCCCTCCGGGCCTCAGCAGCGCCCCCCTGTCTGTCGCAGCGGCGGTGCTGGACAAGCTCGTCTCCAGCGCTCAGCACCGGCACTGCGGGAGCAGGGACATCCGCCGGGGGCCGCGGGGCCAGGAACTCAGCCAGTGCCCCTTGCCCGTCACACTGTGCTCCTGTTGCAGGACTTGCGAGTGCCCCTCTGGCCGGCTTTGGCAGGGGTGGGTGGGTGGCCCAGGCAAGAAATGAGGGTGTGAGTGCCAACCAGGGTGAAAGTCTGTGCCTGCTTTTCTGAGTGTGCAGCGAGGGGCTGCATGACACTGTCCACTTAGCAGGGAGGCACGCGGCCAGCACGTGGGTTCGGGCATTTGCTCGATTACAGGGCACAGTCTCTCTCCTCCCTCCTTCCTTTTCTTTTCTTTTCCCTTCCCTTCCCTTCCCTTCCCTTCCCTTCCCTTCCCTTCCCTTCCCTTCCCCTCCCCTCCCCTCCCCTCCCCTCCCCTCCCCTCCCCTCCCCTCCCCTCCCCTCCCTCCCTCCCCTCCCTTCCCTTCCCCCCTTTCCCTTCCCTTCCCTTCCCTTCCCTTTCCTATTTCCATACATTTGACAACAACAGCTGTAATGAACCCTTCCACAGCTCTCTCCCTGCGTCGGACACTCACTCTTCTGAGTGTCTCACATGCATGCAACCTCCCAGCACCGTAACCAGTGCCCGATCGTGTCCATGGTACAGAGGAGGACATTGAAGTGCACAGAGGTTAACTTAGCCAAGGTCGCCCAGCTGGTAAGCGGCAGGGCCAGCATTTGGCACAGGTATTTTATTGAAACCAGCTGTCAGTTCTGTCTCTTCCTCTGCTCCCTGTGGGCTGTCTGCCCGCGGACCTGGCTCGGGGGTGGCAGGTGTCCAGCAGCTCCTGCGTCAAGGGACCGACAGGCCCACAGACTGACAGTCTGGCCCGGGGGGTTGGGTGGGAAGAGGGCATTGCATCCTGGAGTAGGAACACAGGCCCGGAGTGAGGATTAGGTTTTATATGCGGGATGGGGTGAGGGCAGTTTAGAGCCTATGTGAGGGAGCGGACAGAGGGGAGAAGGAGCCAGATCACAGAGCACATTGACGGCCATGCTAAGAAGCTTTCTCATCTGTCTGGATGGGACCACAGTTCTCGCCGTGTGTGGCCCAGGCTTCCTTTCCCACTCTCCGTCAGTCCCAGGCGACTGTCGCCAACCACCAACTCCCTGTTCAGTCGTACCTACTCCGCGCGGGTCTGATCCAACCGTGTCACACTCTTAAAATATGTTTCGAAGGGAAAAATCAAACGTTAGCTCGGTAAACTTGCAATCGGACGAGAGTTTATTCTAGAATGGGCAGACCGTGTGCACAGGGCCACCACTGAAGTTACGGCAGGAAAGAGAGGGAGGGTTGCTGGCCCGGGGAGTGTTTGCAGGATCGATGGTCCGCTTCCAATCACGTGAGCCTCTCTCCTCTCCCGCATATTCTTTCGCAGTTTGACACTCTCATTAGAGAAGCGCTTAGGGAAAAGACGCCTTGGAGGGCAGAGGCCATGGTTGCTGCGAGCCGCCCTCCCTGGAGACGCAGGCTGTGTGTGGTGCGCAGCGGCGCCATGGACACCAGCTGCAGTGGATGAGGCATTTGAGAGAGGGACCTCTGTCAGCAATGGTTTGCATCAGCCCCTGGCTCGAGGTCTCCTACAGTGCGAGCTCTTGGTTTCAGAGACCCCAGACAGTGAGATCAGCGATCGTGGTTCTCTGTTGCAGATGGAGGGGCATCTCTCCTTCTGCGTCACACACACCACGGGGCGCCTCGCCCTAACAGCGGCCTCGACTGCCACTTGTGGAAACATTTGTTTGCCAGGGTGTGTTCGAACCTTGTCTAGTCGTCTTTATAGATGCCTCGCTTGTCCTTCGCAGACCTTTCTGACGGCGCCCTCTCCTCTCCCGTCTGCTTCTGTGCCGTCCGAGCGAAGCCTCCTCACCCTTGATGGAGCTGGACGATGAGTAGGGTAGCTGGTCCGTGGTGCCATCACCCCCGGG